GAGATTCAGGCATTACAAATCGGACTACAGATCGCTGTCCACCTCTCTAGCCACATATGGATCGAGCTAGATGCTGTGGCTGTTGCCACTCTTTTGACCTCGGGCCACCAGGGATCGTGGCAGATCCAGCACCCGATTATGCGCATTAGAGCGCTACTCCGGTCGATCCGTCACAGGATTACGCATATTTTTCGTGAGGGGAACAGACCCGCAGACTATCTTGCCAGCCTTGGGGCCACCATATCAGATACACACATATTCCAAACAGACACTGCTCCACTCCGCCTTCGCACTCTAGTACGGATGGACCAGCTCGGATATCCTACGTTCCGCTTTCACTAGTTATAGGATTTTTGCTTTCATTAGACTAGTCTTTTATCTCGGGCACCTGTTAGCCCGAAGATCGACCTTGTATTGTAGTTTCTGTTTTCTTTCTTTTTCTGTTTTCTTTCTTTCGGTTCCTTCTCGTTTTTTTTTGGTTTTGATTTGTGAGACGTTGTACACTATTGTATTTTGATCGTTGACATTCTGGGCCCCCGTTTTTGGGGCCCTGATCTATTCACAGGTTGGGGATCTAGCCTAATCCCTCGCCCTTCAGGGGTGTTGTTTGTTTAAAAAAAAAAAAAACCTAGCAACTACAGAGAACTAACCTAGCAACTACATAGAACTAATCTAGCAACTACTGACCTAGCAACTTCAGAGAACTAACCTATCAACTACATAAAACTAACCTAGCAACTAAAGAGAACTAACATAGCAACTACTAACCTAGCAACTACAGAGAACTAACCTAGCAACTACAGACAACTAACCTAGTAACTACAAAGAACTAACTTAACAACTACAAAGAACTAACCTAGCAACTATAGACAACTAACCTAGTTGGAAGGTTAGTTGTCAATGGTCAACGCTGGAGTCAACGCCAAAAGTCAACTGTCAACGCCTGAAGTCAACGGTCAATGCCAGAAGGCAACGCCATAAGGCAATGGTGTTGTGATCCTGGCTCAACGGAATTTTAATTGCAGAATTTATATAGATTTTGTTTTGTATTTTATGTATGAAGAAGAAGATGTTAGATATTGAAAGAGAAAGATGATAGGTAGAGAGAGAGAGAGAGAAAAAGATGAGTGAATATTTCGGATTGCATAAAACGTGAGTTTGTTACACTCCATTTACAAACTTATAACCTCCTAGTGGGACCTATAAAATAACAAACAAAAGATCCCTTTTAATAAGCAGAAAAGTAAAAATAAAAGCAACATAAATAACTTGTCAGTTACACTAATTCAAGAGGCGACATGTGCAGACGAGATGTTCTTTTTCCCTTTGTATGCAATTATTCCACATGTCCCTTCATTGCTGTTTTCAGACAGAACTTTCATTTCCCCGTTTTCAAAAATTCATTTCCCCCAAAACTTCTCAAGCAACCCTAAATTGCCATTTTCGACCTTAGTCTCTTCAACCTTCATTTTGCCCCCAATTTCCACTGAATTCACAACAATTCAACCCCCATTTTTAGACCCTTGTTCGCAAGGGTTGGAATTTCAGAACTTCGCGAAAAGGAACTTCTCATCTTCCCATG